TACAGGATCGATCACCATATGCTCAGCTCTAACTGCTGTGCAAGGTACCAAAGTCTGCCCTGTATGTTGGGTCTGACTGTCATAATCTTGGCCTTCCACGTAAATAGGCTTTACCACCTGCCTACTTACATTATTTTTCCTATTAACTACTGTGGGTGTGTCATTTAATAGGATGGCAGCTGCATCTATGGGAATTTTATATATAGTAATTTAATATAAAAATTATAAAAACAATATATCTCTTAACAATTTTCATTTAACTCAGCTATTAATTTATAAACAACTAACCAACTAAACAACATTTACAACTTCATCTTACTTCCAAATAACTCAACAACTTCTAGCCTAAAAAATAAAAAAATCTTTTTTCTCAAACAACTCTTTATAACTAACAATCTAGATCTACTTTCTTGAAAAAACATTTATTTAAGAACCTTTAAATCTTCTCAAGATTCTATTCCAAGCTAGTTTAAAATATTTTTAAATTAAATATTCACTTTTTCTATAACATGCATATGGCCCAATATTCAACTTTTACTAATAAATTTATTTCTAAATATATTTAATCTGATTACACCTCAATTTGATAATCTCAAAAATACATAAACAATTTATATCTCATTTTCAAACTAGCATATAGGCAAAATAACAAATAAATTCAACTTATTACTACTTTTTCAAAACTATCAAATTATCAATTCAACATTCAACATAATTTGCATTTCTCTTACATCTACAACAATTCAAACCAATTACAAAAATATTATTAAGTTAAAATGCAAAACACAGAAAAAACAACAACATTTTGAGCTCAATATCAATAACCAAGAAATCCAAGCACTTCAAAACATTTATACAGAGTTATACAAATCAGTCCCTCAATTTTTATTCTCCTTTTCAATACCTTCATCAGAAATTCTCTTAATACAAAACACAATATCTGATCCTATTTACCAAAACCAATTCATTGATCTTTATAAAAAAATTCTATTTCTAGAATCAACTAATCTAAGCTTTTATACAGATGTCTCTATACTTAATTTACAAACAAATAACATCTTAACAGGCATTGCTTGGATCTTTGAAAAGGATACACAAATCAAATTTATTATTTCTATAACTTATGCACCAAACTCAATAAGAGCTAAATTAGCAATACTTATTTCTCTATTCCTTATTCTACCTACCAATTATCAAATTCATATTCATTTGAACAGTTTATCTACTATTTAAATACTCTTAAATATATTATCCTAGTACTACAATTCACAAACCAAACAAAATAATTAAGATATTATATATATACTTAATTATTTAATAAAACTCAAAAATATTAATTATACTATATACAAAATTAAATCACATTCAAAAAATACTTTACATAATATGGGAGTAAGTCAATAGAAACACACTATAATTTTTCTAAGTAAATCTTTTTAAAACTTTAAACAAAGATAACTCAACAACAACTTAATTAAATTTAATAAAAATTTTTTTAAAACAATTTTAAAAATTTATAGAATCTATTTAAAAAAAAAATTATCAAATTTGATTAAGTTTTTGCTAAGTTATTTTTGTTTAAATATTTAAAAAAATTTCATTAAAAATAATATGGTGTATTTCTATTGACTTACCCCCATATAACTGGTTCTTTAGCTAAACAAAATACCAATAAAACCAAATTAAAATTCAATCTTGATCATTTTTATCTACTCATCTATTTTCTTAAAAACAAATTCCAATTACATACAAACTATGTAAATTCTGCAAGAACCTAATCTTAATCCAAATATTTAACAAACTTTTTTAACTCAAACCATTATGAAATCTTTTAAATATTCTATTATTAACTGAAATCATCAATTTCCAAAACTCCAATCTCAAATTATATTCTATTAGAAACAAAATACTTCTCAATAATCTACCAACAATGTCAAATTTAAATATCTACTATTCTTTCCTTTATCTAATTCCAAATTGCTTATATTGTAAACAATATGAAAGCATTGAACACTTATTTCAATGCTCACTTCATTCCTACAATTCACAAAACATTCTCATTAATAAAATCTCAAATACTTTAAATTTTTTAAACATTATAGAATCTTTATCAAATAAAATAATACAAATTCTTACTATATATAACATTTCTCTCAATCTTAATATATATAACACAATACTATTATTCATTTAGGATACAATAACTCTTAACCAATATAATCAACATCAACTTATTCTAAAAAAACTAATTAATAATTTTCTTATTTCTTTATCTAACTTATTACTTACTTGATTCAACTTTACTATCTGACAAACCTGAAATACTAAACAATATGAATGAGAATCACTACAAGAAATCATATCTTCTACTAAAAAGGAAAACAATATCAGATTACCTATTTTACAATTTACAAACTCTAATAATACTACTTTTACTTTTAATACTAATATTGATCCTTTTATTTCTAAAACTCTTACTTAAAACTTCACTATATATACCTGTTTTTACTAATTAAATAATTTTAAAGGTTCCTTTTACCCTCTTTGTAGTTAAATTTATATAAATTAACTCAACTAATAACAGCAAACTAAAGGATAATATCACACTAGATGTTGTAGTATATAACAACAATAGTGTAGCTTAAAAATAATATTTTAGTTATACATCCATATCCAATTGATATATAAATGTATCCTTATTTTCCTACTTGATATTATATAAAAAAAAAAAAATATATATATATATATATATATATAAATTATATTATTAAAATCGCTAATTTGATTGGCTAAATCAATATGCACGATCGGGATCATCATTTCCTTATTTGGAACAGTCTCTCCTGTTATTAACATGTCAGAAAAATAATTGTTAGGAAAGGAGTTATTAGAAAAATGATTGTCAGTGAAATGATAAGGACCCAGTAATTTTCATCACAAACTAAAAGTAATCTCGTTAATCAGTAAATATTTCATTTAATCTTTTTTTTTAATATATTATTTTTAATTGACAATTGCTTATTAAGATCTTCTAATTTGTTAATTCTTAGAAGAATTTTACACATCAAATCTAAAGATACTTGTACTTTGAAATAAATAAAAATTTTTTCAATTTAAGTGCCAAAATCAACAAAACTTTTCTTAAATGGATCAAGAACTTGCAATTAAAGTTTTAATCTTTTTCTCTTAGTTTCACCCAAACCTAAAAAATCGTATTTGCTTTTCTTAACCGATTAATAAAAAAATTTTTAATCAATCTGATTATAATGCCTTTCACACAAAGAATAACATGCTAGGGAATCAAGTAATGAAGTTAATTCAGGAAAATACTTAGCTGTCTCTATTATTCTTTTTATTGCTGCATCACTTGACGCATGTCTCCATTTTCGCTTCTCTTCGCCTTAATTTTATTTAGTTGCTTTCGGCAAGGGAAGCGAATATACAGAGCAGATCTTTGGCCTCTAGTTTTAAACTTATCGCTGATCTGCATATGAATACTGTAACTTTAAACTTTAATTGAGAGAAGGCTGATTTGTAAGTTTTGGATCCTCGAGGATTCTTAAACTACGTGCTCGAAAATATATATTTTGTTAGTTCCGCTTTTATCACGGTACTAGATCGACGAAGTGTGCCACGAACTTTCGTATAAGAAGATTATCAAATGCCAATCACATTTCGTCGATTATTCTAGCAAAATTTAAAATGCTATCAAAACTTGAAGTCTAAAGTGTTATCAGGTTAAAATTGTCTACCGAAGTATTTTTATTTTGGCGTGCGGAATACTTTAGATAAATTGGTCAGTCGAGATCACAGCAGTTAAAGATCAGATTCTTCTAAAATTTTTTCTAACAGTTAGGTTGTTTAACCGTATTAATTGTTTTAGTCATTACTAACATAATCCACCCTGGAACTACAAGTTAATTTTTATGCGATTAAATGGTTCCAATCCTGAGCACATAACCAAATTTGAGCTGTGTATAAAATAATTTTCAAATGTAAAATAAACATCCAATAACCAATTTTTATTATATTTACTAAAATAATGTTGATAAATAACTATACAATTTGAATAGTTTTTTTTGTTTGTAACACTCTATCCCCGAAGACTAAGTGTCCTTACTATGAATACATTCTAAACATTATTATATATATATTTTAAACAACTTCATCGTCCCTTATATCTACATAACCATTTCTTGGTTTTAAATTACCATACCTTTCAAATGGAACATCATACAGTTCGCGCCAATCTATCTTTTGCATCATTCCACCATGTCCTTGTGACCAGAAATCCACACAATTATTCCAACATCCAAAATCAAAGGGATTTCCATTTGTACGGTCATTAAGATGTTTTCGACGTGTTGTCCCTCTTCCACTAAACATTCTCAGGGATGCAGCTGTATGTTGAGAACCAAGACTACTATATCTCATACCAAGTCTGTGATCACCATTCCCAAAATTATTTTCTACATTATCCTCCGTTCCATACATATCATCATCGTCATTATCATCTGCTTGAGAAGTTCTAGATGCACTAGGTGCAGCTGCTAATGTTGCCATAATCTGCTCTCGGACATTTATATTATTATAATTCCCAAAATAAGAGTATCGATGATAATTGGCCATTTCGTTAGTAGTTTTAGCTTTAGCAATTTGATACCCTTGCGTGAATATTAATCCTACTATCCAGATAAGATTTAATCCAATCCAAATAGCTATGGATGCAGTCCACATATCATAATGGAAAAATCCGCATAGAGTATCATTCAAAAAACATGAGTCTGATGAATTTGGTATATATGGAGGTGTGGAAATTATAAAATCTATGATTTTTAAATTGAATACGGAGATTATAAAATTAATATATGAGAACGTATAAAACATTTGCCTTATAACTGAAACTAAAATAAAGATAGTCATACATTGATAACAGGTATACTCAAAACTTATAATCGCCACTACCATCATCTTAAGATACACCATAAATGCGCGGTGATTCCTTACTCCAATGCAATTATGTATCCACGGACAATGGCTAAAGTGAAAAGATAAATAAATTAGGATTTCGTTAAGCACTTTGTCATAACTTTTAGTCATTCACAAAAAAGTAAGAACGTACTGATCAAAGCGAGCGACGCATCTATTACAAATTTTACAATGCTTTGACCTGATGGGTTTTTTGATCTAAATTGAAATCAAAGGATTTTAATAACAAACCTCTGACTGGACATTGTAAAGTTCAATTAGCACTAACCAAGCATGTTCTACACATATGCCTCGAGTCCAGCATTCCTTTATTCGCAAGGTCAACTATAGACTAAAGCAACAAATGAGTAAATTGGAAGGCATATACTAATAAAAATTTAACTATTTCACACTAAGATACCTTCTTTTGATCTTCGCGAGAGTATTTGTTTTGAACGAATCCCGGATCAATGAATAATGCCGTATAAAATGAACACAAGGTCATAAAATATGATGTGACAAATATTATATTTGGCACAAGTAAATACGATGTTACTATCATGAATAGAGTACAAATGGAATTAATAAGATTAATAACGATAATGTCTAGATAAAAACATAAGTCATTTTGTGCTAGGCTATATCAACAATGCACCGCAATAAACAATAAGGATGCAAGAACATGAACACTTGAACCTTTTGAGTACTAATAAAAAAGTATAGAAGACAATTAACATACAGTTGTAGTAGTGTCCTGATGCTAATTTTAATCTAAAATCTATTTTGATAACTATCATGACTGAGGCTGGAAATTGGACTTTAATAAAAATTTTCTTGGTAGATGTTTTTTTTTTGATAATTAGGTTAGGATTTAGGCTTAGAGTTTATAATAAAAGAGCATAAGTGGACTTTAGTGGATTTTATATAATCCAATTTTCAGTTTTAGTCATTTCCAGCCTCAACCGAGAGAATTAATTCGTCAATACAGTATTGTTATCAAATATTTCGATAACAGACATAACCTGGCACAGAATATTGACATGTGATAAAACACATGATGATGCTGTAAAATTATATCTTAAATACCAAGTAATAATTTGTAAACCCATGTGAAGCCAACCCAAAAAGCGCTTGCTTGAAATAAGCCCGTAAGATAAGGTGTTCGAATCATAGCATCTGGTGTTTGTGCTCTTATGAGAATTTTTACTATTAACACGTAGCATGTTGAAAATTCCAATAGAGATATAGGCAACCCAATGTACCAGGGATAATAAACTAAAGTTTTTAATATTGCAAATATAAGAAAGAATGGGAGGAGATATATAATAGCAAAAGTAATACGCTATTTAAATTTGATAAATATTAGTGTGAAATTATATGTGAATAATCTAAAGAAAGAATATTTTTATAAAAAACAAAAGAATAATGTAAAATACCTTTCCAAAAATATACGACTTCATCTTCCTGTCTCCTTTTATTCCTGATTCATGTAACGCCCTTTCCCATACCCTATCAGCCTTCATCTCTCGTGCAATATCCGAAGGAGTCTTCCCACTATCCTCTTTTGCATTTATATTCGCACCAGCCTCTATTAGCTTTCTTAGACATAACGGGTTTCCTTTAATCATTGCCCAATGCAAGGGAGTAAATTGCGAAGCATCAGTTTTGGATACTGATGCACCCAAGTTAATTAATAACTCTACAGTTTGTGGATCTCCTTGATAAGCAGCCCACATTAAAGGCGTATGTTGTAAAACATCTGGAGTATCAATGTCCATATCATGATATATGAGATATAATACTAGCATAGTGTTAGAAGAATGCGTAGCAATATGCAGCCCATTAAATCCTTGAGAATCTCGAATACTAGGATCAGCTCCGTGGTTAACTAAAAGAGTTACAATTGATAGATGGCCACTCCTAAATATTTTAAGGAAGAACATATATGGATTGATTTTCTTTTGACATCGCAAGGTAAATAAGTAAAGTAGGTTTATATGCACACCTTGCTGCCCAATGCAATGGAGTAGCGTCCAGTTCACCACCACGAGCATCTACTTCAGCTCCATTATCAATTAAATATTTCGCCATTACCACATGATTATTGATAGCCGCCCAATGCAAAGGGGTAACATTCTGTGTGTCTCGGTCTGTTGCCTTAACTCGACCATTTTCGATCAAATTTTTTGCTATATGCAAATTTCCATGTTGAGCAGCCTGATGAATTGACATTCCTATTTTTCATGATTATGAATAAATAAATGCGATTCGTTCGAACGGATTATTATCATCGTTTGATAAATATTTACAAATGATAACATTGAAAAAAACAATATTCTTTCTTTTTTGGTATTGCAAAAGACAGATATTTAGTAGGTCTTTATTATCAAGTCTAATATATCTATCACCAGCCACCAAAAACTTGCCAATTAGTGCACGATACACAAACTTGTACAGTACCTGAAAAGCTGTCACATCTATTTTCAACAGTCGAGTTACTTACATGATCGTCGTCGATTTTGGGAAGTACACTAGTAACGGCGACTGTGGTCTTCGCCGCTGCAATGTTAAGTCCTGGCACAGTTGCAATCCCTGAATTATTTTTGCCATCAACATGGCGTTCTACTTCAGTATCTTGAAGTTTCGTGGGTGCCATTTGTGTGGAGGCCTAACAAAAAAAAAAAAGGACACTCGAATTTGGCTGCGGTAAATATTTGTTGCTGGTAGGTCAAATGCTACTGCGGAATGTTCACCAAAAATGGTCTCACCAGTTTTCTTAGTGATACAAGCGTGTGCACAAATAAAACAAGCTGTTATGTCATGCGTGTTCTTATGTAATGACAATAATAGTGCTATTGTCTCTTGTAAACATACCTGCACGATAACGTTTATTAGTTGTAACGTCATGTGGCAGAATCCTGAACCAGCATTATCGCGGGACAGTTCGGAACTTAGTAAGGAAAGTCTCCAAGTCAACCGACATTTAAAACCGTAATATAACAAAAGCCCACTGAAAACGTTCTTCCTAGCTGTTCTCCTATTGCGCAATCAAGTCCTATGGGAAATTTGCCAATGAACATTTTATTCACACTCGGTTTATTCTTAGTTGATTCCTGTTTACTGAATGACCCTCCGGCATGCGATATGCGTCTATAGCATTATGTATGTCATTGGATGTTTAAATCGAATTTCACCCCAACCGTTTTTTTGAAGACTCGATCTAATTTATGCTAGCCTGCAGAATGAATTGAATCCTTTTACAGAATTCAATTCTTTCTTTTTCTTATGTATCTAATATACAAAATCTTTAGAAAATGAGTGACGAAAAGGGAAAACCTCACTCAATGAGTGTATAAATAATCATTAATGTATATATATACAAATCTATATAAAAAATACGTTGCATGCTTAAATTGACATAAACTTTATAGATTATAAGATGTAAAAAATTACAAAAAAGATAATAAATCTAAATGCAAAAGATATATATGTAAAATATCCTGAACATAGATCAATATCTTAAAGATTAACCTGTAATGAACCATTAGCAGAGATAATAAAAACTAAAGATAGATCTTTATTATGATTATTAAAATTTTACCCAGTTAGAAGTATAAAGCAATAACTTTATATGATATATCAGTTACTAGATTTTGAGAATATGTTATGCCATTCTAATATCTTAAATAGAAATTCAATTATTTTTTACAAATAACAAACTATATAATCATATCAACCTAACTCTTAATATCAATTGGTTCCAACTATTTGATTATATAGTTCATAGTACTAAAGCAATTTATGATCTCTAAATACATACTTTAGCTTAGTCCCAAGCTCAGAACTTTGTAATAAGTGTACATTTCTATTCTTTGCAAGTGCACAAGTTTTTTCTTATGCTTACCGCCTAAATTCAGACAGTTAAGTTCCAATCCTAAATCCAGACCCAAATATAGAAGCTCAAACTCAATTTTATTGACGCAGTAAAACCACTAACCAATAAAATTCGTATATTGGTTCATGTAACTTCTAGCCTTAAAGGTTCTGGATCTGGGACTTTTAAAAAAATAGGTTTAACCTATTTGGGATTTGGAATTTTGGGAATTGGATTTTTGGCAAGTATAATTTTTATGGAATCAGCCGAATATGATAATTCCAGTATCGCCATAAAAAAGTTGTAATTATATGTTTGGGGTTGGCATCTATATTAGGATTAGGCGTTAGCATTTACGCTAAAATCACAACTCTTTGATAGAGTACTAAAGATGGTACTTCTGCGAATTTTGAGAAATTTGACAAAATGAGCGTTCAGAATGTTTATTTTTTCATTGTCTGATCAGCAAAAACTTTGGCTAAATCAAAAATCAAGTTCATGCTACCCCTTGTACTTCTGATTTTTTTTTTTTTTTAAAAAAAAAATTTCAAACAATAAGTAAAACAATTTTATATCTAAAATAGTTAGTCAATAATATTCATGGGAGTATCTCGCGAGTCAAGAGTGAGGTCTAGATTTATTTCAAAATTCATCGACATTTAAATAAGTCAGAATAAAATAAAATACAATGAAATTTCCGTATTTAATTCTAGCACAGATTTGTGAAACATTATTGGCAAATTTAATTTTGAGATAATAGCCGACAAAGCCGACTTAGCCATATTAAAATTATCGACTCCAATCACTACTCTCATTGTCATTATCATCATCGACATCGACACCATCATCGTCATCGACATCATGTTTTTTCCTTGTAACCTTTTCAAGAAGAAATTTTTAATTTAAATTAAATCAAAAATCTGGTAATACAAAATGAAACACATACTGTGAAACCAGTAGGATGGGACATTTGGTATTCTGTAGTGTTCTTATCAACTTCATATTCTGGGTTGGTGAATAGTTCGATAAATCTTTTGTCTTGGAGAAGGTTTGTCGCGTCCTATGATTTGACGAAAGAAATATTTAATAATGTGACAGAGACGTGCCATTTATCATATAATATTTTACTTAGTTTAGCACTGCGTACATTACCCGAGGTATTACTTAAGAACATTTTTAAATTAAATAATACCAGGTACTTCATTGGTGAAGGAGTGTACTTTATGTGATTACCAATTGACCCATATTTCCGTGGTAATATTACGTGATAAATGGCGCACTTCTTAAGAGCAATAAAATTGTACAAAATTTTTACAAACCTGGCCTCCTTTCTTCTTTTTCTCAGATGAATGTAACAATCGATTTGCTAAATCTTTGTTAACTTTAGGCAATTGTTTAGTTGCACGTATACGTGACTCGCGTTTCGCTTCTAATTTCTCTTTAATAACTTTTTCTCGATATTCCGCATAAGCGAATGGATTTGATATAAGTTTTGCCTGTATTATTTGAAAAATTTAAATTTTATCTCGTAAATTAAGAAAATGAGAATGTTTACATACTTGTTCGTATAATCGCAAATCAACGAAAAACCCATGCATGTACGGTTTCATGACGTTAGTTCCAATCAAATGATCCATACCGAGGCTGCAAAAATCGAAGAAAATCCTTAGTATGTGAAAATACTTTAGTGCATACGAATGAATAAAATGAAATATTGGATCTCTGACTTTGACAGTTCTTTTCTCGTAACAAACTTATAGTCATCATAAATATTTGGTTGTGGATTTTCTTCCATTTCTTCCTAAGTAAGAAGGCATATATTTACTGAATGTAATCATAAAACGAAATGGTTCATATTATATTAAAGAATATTTACTGTTAAGTTGTCCAAAAATGAGCACCATCTTGGTGCAGGGCCCAATGAAGGTACATAATATGCACCAATTTGTATACCTTCATTAGCCATAAAAATTAATCCTGAATCGGGCACGACACACACATCATTGATATCTGTGTTAGGCTCCACCGAGGTAAAATGAGCACCCTTATTGTAAAGTTTTCATAAATTGATAAGCATGAAACTGAAATTTTTTAGTAATTAGAGCTTACACTTACATTTTCTCGATCCCATATTTTCATAATTTTGCAATCTGCACTAATTACTTTTCCTCGACCTCCGTCACCTGTAGCATTATCATACCAATTTATGGTTTTTATCGGGTAACCATATTGATGATCTTTGACTAACCATGGTGAAGAACTTCTTAGATCATATAATAATATATGACCCGTTGAAGTTCCTACTGCCAAAGAAAGTCCATCATGTCTGTATGCCATTGCCGTAACTTGAAATCCCTGCTCATTAGAATCTTCTACTGGAGAAGAAGGTGCTAACAATCCAACACGAGATCGTGATCGAGGATCCCAAAATTCTACAACACCATCTTGTGTTCCAAACCCAAAAAGTTGATGAGCAGGATTTATTATACAAACATTAACACCGGATGTGGCATCAGTAGATATAGGATTTAAAAATCGCCCTTGATTTAAGTTTAATCGATATACTTCATATGATGCAGCAGTAATTAGAAGATCGCACGTGGGATAATGATAAGCCAAGTCTCTACCAAACTATATGATTGAAAAACCAAAATTTTTTTGAACATAGCACATATATAGTTGTTGGTGTCTTTAAGCGTTTACCTTTGGTATTCTTGTTTTATAATATATACCGCCTTGAGTATGGAATTCAATCGTTCTGTCATTTTGTAGTAACACCGATTTTGTCCAATCGTCAGATAATATCTATGTATATTATTATCAGAATAATAAAATGACTATTTTCAAATCAATGCTAGGATATTAGTTCTCAAATGCATTCTACCACAAAGTTAATGTTTTCCGAGTCTGTATGGCGATCAAATTTCATCGCCATTTCAGCATATTCAAACACCCGAATCTGAGGTTTATAAACGCCTATAAACGGATTTGTTGATAAATATTGCTAGAAGTTAAACCCTTCTTCTTTGACGAAAACAAATGTATTACCTGTGGCCATTACAAAACGTCCATCTCTAGTGGTTTTCACTCGAATAGATGCCTCTGGGAACTCAAAATCTTGAATCAGTTCGACTCTTGAACGCCAATCTATCGGTTAAAGAATGTATACTGTTGAGACATTCGTTACAAAACAAGGACAAATTATGAAATCAACTCACTAAACCTGGATCATGCTTTAAAAATTTTTTCTTTTTTCTCTCTAGCCAGTCGGGTATTGTACGGGAACCAGAGCCGGAAATCGTGTAGATTTTGACATTATTTAGGTTCGACGCTTGGAGAACCATTTATACGTATATTAAGAATTTAACATATGTTAATTGATAATCTAATATCTTTTGATATTAACTAAGAAAATCCCGGGCTGCAGATCACATCTGATCTTTCTCATCCGAAACCCGAAAAAAAAAATTGGCGAATAGCTATGGTGCTGGAAGCCTATACTCAACAGTTACACGAAGTGTTTCAAATTTTTAAATGACTATAACTTTTTATCTAAG